AAGTTTGCCATCAGGCTGACTGTCGTCCTCTGTAGATTGTTGACCTCTTCTTTCGGGTACATTTTACAGTTAGCTGTTTGTCCGTAGTGTCCTGCAGTTCTGCTACTGTGTGCTGTGGCATGAAACCGCTGTGTGTGTGTGTGTGTGTGTGTGTGTGTGTGTGTGTGCACGTGTGGTACTGGGGTTTGAGCCCAGGACTTTCACACTGAGATACATTCCCAGCTGTTTTATTTTTATGTTTTGAGACAGTGTCTCCCAACATCAAGTCTGGACTCACTAAGTCATTAAACCTGGGATGGAATTTGAGATCTTCCTGCCTCATCCTTCCAGAGTGCTGGGATTAAAGGCATGCACCACCATGCCTGGTTTGAATCCATTTCCCTTTATCCTGCCCTGTCCTGGAAATGCTTAATCACATATCTTTTAACTCTGGATTCTTATGTTCTGCAATTCTGTAGATTCTTCCACTTCTGTCGTTTGATTCTTTCTCTCTAGCGTCCTCTTTCCTTTTGGACCCTGTTGGGTCATTGTTAGACTTTACTGCCTGCTTCTCCATATTTTCTCAGTTTCTCATTCCTGCATTCCATTTCGCTATTTCTCTGTACTGAATTCTAGGGGGTTTTCTCAGGTAACCTATTCAGTGCTTCTCTCCAGCACTGTAACCCTTCCAGAATTTTTTTTTTCTTTCTTTCTACCCTTCTTTTTTTTTTTTCTCTTTGAGACAGGGTCTCACTTTGTAGTTCAAACTGGCCTTGAACTCATCATATAGCCCAGGCTGGGCTCCATACTTCCTACCTGAGCCACCTGTTCTGGGATTATAGGTGTGAGTTACCACACCCAGCTGAATCATTTTTCATTTAAATGTCTTTGATTTCTAGAACTTCCTTTTTTTTTAATGTTTATTCTCATCCTGAAGTGACATCATATTCTCCTATGCTCAATTTTGTTGGCTCTCCTCACGTTGCTGTTTTCTAGTTCTTGGTGTTTGTAAGTAGAACCTAACATTGGATTCACTTAGTCTCCCTCTGGTGGCTCAGCTCTTCAAGCTTCCTAGGTCTCCTCTCTGAGCTCAAGGCTCAGTTTTATTTTCCTATCTGTCTATTATGACCGCTGGTGCAAACCGTCGGGGTAGCATTCATTAATAGAAGTATGACATAAGCCATACATATCTTAATATATTCTAGAAGCCACAAGAGAAAATAAAAAGAAATAGATGAAATTAATTTAGCAACATATTTAACCCACTATCTCCAAATATTGTTACTGTAGCCAAAGATGGCGGCGCACACCTGTAATCCCAGCACTGGGGAGGCTGAGGTAGGAGGATTGCTGTGAGTTTGAGGCCAGCCTGGGCTATAGTGAGTTCAAGGCCACCCTGAACTACATAACAAGACCCATCTCAAAAAAAGCCAAGAAAAATAAATAAAATAAAATATTGTCACTTTAATAGGTAATCTACATAAAAATTATTACATTTACATTTTTTGCAGTAGTCTCAGTCCTGGTTGTACTTTGTGCTTGCCGGGTGTCTCCATCTAGGCCGGTCACAGCTGAGGTGCTTCACTCCCCCATGGGATGAGTGAGTGGTCCAGGCCCGTAACTCCACCCCCCTACATGATGTCATTTCCCCTTGGGCTGACTGGAGCTCCTGTCTCCTCCAGCTTTAAATTTTCTCAGGAAATTGGTCAGGTTTCCTCTTGCAGAACACAGTGCCCAGCGCCCACAGCGTAGAGGAGGGAAGGTTGGATTAGTCCCCACTGGAGAAGGATGCAGAGCAGCAAAGCCACTTGGTCGTGGCAGCCAGGAAGCAGAGCAGGGCCACAGTGCCTCGGGAGCAGTGGTCCTGACATTTTGGCACCGGGGTCCAGTTTCACAGAAGACAGTGTTTCTTTCCATAGATGGGGGGGTGGTTCAGGATGGTTCAAATGCATTATATTTATCGTGTATTTTATTTGTTACACTGTAACATATAATGAAATAATCACACAACTCACCATAATGCAGAATCAGTGGGAGTCCTGAGCTTGTTTTCCTCAGCTGGACATCCCATCTGGGGGCTACTCACTCCACGGTCTCATCCTGCTGCTGTCCCTGCGGGAAACCCTGCTCCACAAAGATAGGGTGTTGGGAATGGAAGCAGGCTTTTCAGTGTTTTTATGACAATGTCAAGTTATTTCACCTTGACTTTAGTCCAGAACACACGGAGATTTTAAGGTGTCTCAAGCATACTATTAAGGCTGCCATCATTTGTGATATCAAGGAATTGATTCTCTTCTGGTTCAGACAAAGTCAACTGACCCGGCTTATTCACAGTTAGGTCACAGATCTTTCCTTCCCTGTTCGGGGATCTTCTGTGATTGGGAAGTAATACACAAACTCTTGAAAGCTGGGGTAGATAATTGTGCCCTAGATTGGAGAAAGAAGGCCCTGCCTCAGTCTCTTTCAAAATCCTTGCTAATGTTTGAAACATGTCAAAAATAGCAATGTTCACTTGTGACCCCATAATCCCAGTTTGGCTTTGAATGCAGCCACTTTATCTGCTGCCTTGAACACAGTTGTTATTCTCCTCTGACGAGTTCATTTAGCAGGTTAAATAGATCACACAAGTAAGAAAATTTGGTGACCTATTCTTTGTCACTGAACTGAACTTCTGGTGGAAACTGTTTCTCTAAGAAATGTCTGGAGCACTCTTATAAATCCAGAAATTCTGGCAGTGATCTCCCTTCAGAAAGCCCTCGCCCTGCTGTGTATATGAAAAGGCATCTGTGCTCTGCTTCATCTCCTCACAGGGCTGCATCAACAGATACAAGCTAAGGGCTCTGGCTTTAATGTGGTTGATAATTTAATCATATCCTGCAAAATGTTGCTAAGTTTAGGTGACATTTTTTCATGAGGCAGGATTTCCCTATGGATGACACAGTGACTCACATTTATTAGCAACCTCTTCGACCTGCATAATGAAACCAGAAAGCCATCTAACTGTATACTAACACAAGGTGACCAACTCAGTTTTCCTGATATGATTCAAAACTTTGAACAGCTGTGCTGCTGTGTTGTTGGAACAAAAGTGCTCATGACATATCCTCACACACAATGTCCTGAAAAACATATCACACAAAAACAAGCATTGTTGCCTTGTTGTCAGCATCAGTAGACTTGTCCACCTGGATTATATACCGCAGCGACTCACTAATCCTCTCTAACAAATGCTCCTCAGAATGCTAGTTCACCGACTTGTCTAGTTACAGTACTCGTCAAAAGAGGAACCCTTGTCACATTTTGGATCACAGCCTCTCAAAGTTCACAGTGTATGTCCTAGGCAACAGGCAGAATCAACTCTGCACCAACACTAAAGGGCTTCTTAGCTTTAGTGGTGCAGTTGGCCACTAGGAGTGATGTTCTTAGTGCAGACACATTAGATGAAGAGATGCCCTTCAATAATTGCTTCTGACTTGGCATGGTGGCACATGCCTATAATCTTAGCACTCAGGAGGCTGAGGCAGGACAATCCAGGCCAGCTTGGACTACAGAGTGAGTTCAAGTCCAGCCCGAACTATACAGCAAGCCCCTATCCAAAATTATTTATTTATTTATTTGCTTGTTTATTTATTGCTTTTCTCTGTGTTTAGGTCTTTTTTCCTTCTAGACAAACTCTGGAGACTTGTCCTTTAAATCAAGGTGTTTGGTCTCCACATAGCAAAACAGTTTAGAAGGTTTCAGGGCTTTGTTGGATGTACTAGTGTCACCCATGTTGTATAAAGCAGGCCTTTGGAGGATGTGGGTCAACTGTTGCAATGAACCCATGATTTAAATGGGGCTCTTGATGCTTTGTTTTAAATGCAGCTCTCTCTTTTCTTGTTGGGAGCTGTAGAGTCTCCTGCTGTGCCATCTTTGGGTTGTACCCCCTTTTCAAAGAAGTTCTCCAGTGACATTTGTTTTTTACTCATTTTGTTTGGCTGGGATTAGCTCTGGGATTCCCAAAGCTGTGACTGAGGCAAGGGGGCAATGCAAGAAAGAAATGCAGATGGAAGTAATAAATAGAATAAAATAACAGGCACGCCATGTGCAGACTCAAACACACATCGGATTCTGGCTTGAAGCCTGCCGCCAGATGCAGCTGTACAGTTGAAGTACATCATCTCACTTGCCACTGTAAAGCCTGCTGCCAAATTCAATGTAACTGTCACTGGCCACTCGCTGCTAGGGTTTCGGTGTGAATCTACAAGCAACTGATTCATTACAGTCTCTGCTAATGTTTGTCTGTATTGCAGCTGCTCCCCAGCTCCAGCATCAATGCCTCAGCTCCACTTTAGATCATCGGACATTAGATTCTCATAGCAGCCTAGATACCTTGCATGTGCTGTTCACAGTGGGGCTTGTGCTCTGAGGAGAAGCTGATGTCGTGGCCAGTCTGACAGGAGGCAGACCCCAGGTGGTCCTGGGAGTGGAGGGGAGCAGCTATGAATACAGAGGAAGCTTTGCTAGCTGCCCTGCTGCTCACTGTGTCCTTATAGTCCACAGACCAGTACCAGGCCATGGCCTGGGTTCAGGGACCCCTGATACATAGTATTGAACTCATAACATAGCCTACACTTGCCTTGAACTCGTGGTGATCATCCTGCCTCAGCCTTCCAAGTGCTGAGTATTACAGGAATGTGCCACCACCCTTGAACATGGGCATTTATTAACCCAATGTAGTTGACATATTAGAATTTTAAACTAATAATCACACTCTTTTTATATTTTTATGTGTTTATAGGTGGAGTAAAGTCCATGTAGCTATGTGCTACGAATCCTTTGATTTATTCCTTATCCTTTCGCTCCTTTTACAGATGAAGAAACTGGGGCTTGTGGAGCCCAAGTGGCTTGCCCAAAGTCACGTGGCTTTTAGGTGACTGAGAACAGACCTGCTTGGGACTGTTTCAGTTCCACAACTGTGATCTCCCCACCCACACCATGTCACCACCTCATAATTTTGACTCCTCCTTGTTCATTTTCAGGAATTAACTGCATCAAGGGCTCTATCTCTCTGACTTCTTCCACGGCCTTGCCTGTCTGAGAGTGGCCAAGACCAGGTAGTGGAGAGCCATGGACCAGTATGGCCTCGGGGACAAGGGTGCCCTTCCATCAGAACCGCACCTTCCTTTGTTCTCAGAGAGCCAAGGGCTCACTTGCAGTGACTCCCTCAATCGGAATCTGGGCCCCAGCACCCGTGACCTGCTCAGCCTGGGTGGCCTGGAGCTGGACCCCAAGCTCTCGGCTCCTGATGTGCCCAGTGAGGTGCTGGAGGACAATTTAGACACCTTGTCCCTGTCCTCTGGGCGGGACAACGACTTCGGGAAGCTGCTGGAGGAATATACGGATCTGGAGTCTCAGACTTCGGTGCAAGGTGAGGCTGCCCCTGGGTGGAAGGGCCCGGGGTGTCTGACAGTCCCCACAGCCAGTTCAGAAAATCCTCCTCTCCTACAAGTGATGTAGGGAAAAGCCACTTGTGCCACCCCCACCTTCAGACTCATTCCCAACTTCCTAGCAGAAGAAACAGGACTGACCCTAGAAATGATGCTGAGAGCCATAGCTGCTTGGGGACGTCCTGGCCCTTTGCCTGGTGTGAGTATACAGCCCGGTAGAGACTTTGCTATCCGTGACCTCATCTCAGCAACTCTGCATCTTCCCAGACTGAACCCGGGTCCTGTTCATTCTGCTGTCGGGCTGCTTGGCATTCCTAGGCCTCTACTGTCTTCACTTGTAAGGTAGAGGTAACAAGGAGAAACAACGCTAGAAGCTCTTCATAGGCCATGAAGCACTGGACAGCTATTAGGTGTTTTGTTTTTCTTAAGAGAGGGGAATCTTCCTATGTTGCCCAGAACTCCTGGCTCTGGTGACCCTCCTGCCTCAGCCTTCTGAGTAGCTGGGCTCAAAGACACGTACCACTATGCCTAGCTAGTTACCAATATTATGATATTTCTTTTTTAAATAGACCTTTAATTCAGTTCTAAACCTTTCTCTTCAGCAGGGGAGGAACAAGAGGAGAACTATAGAACTAATTAAACCCCTTAGTTGCATGTTTTGGTTTGCCTTCTGGCTTCCCATAGAGGAGAAATTCCTTTTTAAAAAAAATCCTCTTCCTCAGTTCCTGACTTCATTGCTTAAATGGGTGGACAGGACTCAACCAGAGTGTTTGGATAGCTATGATCTCACTTGGCACACGTGGAAAACCACGTCTGTGATTCTTTCTAAAGCAGGTGTTCTTTTTTGTTTTTGTTTTTGTTTGATGAGCATTGAACCTGGGGCCTTTGTACTGGGATCCCTTCTCCTTTTTGAGACAGGCTCTTACTAAGTCACTAAATTTCCAGGGCCAGGCTCAAACTTGTGCTCTTTCTGCCTCAGCTTCCCAGAGTATTGGCATCACTGGCCTGTGCCACCATGCCTGCCGGGCTCAGGTGTTAATCTTAACTGGGATAAGTAGCTCACACCTGTAGTCCCAGTACTGAGGAAGCTGAGGCAGGAGGATCACTCTGAACTATATAGTGAAATCCTGTCGCAAAAAAAAAAAAAAAAACTAAAACTGATTTTTTAAAAATTCCAAAGCTCCTGCTGAAAAATGAAAAGCCTCTGAGGGCCCCACTCCACAGAAGATGGAGTAGACAGGTATCGGCTTTGTCACTGTGCTGGCCTGATGGCAGAGGATGAAATTAGGGTACCAGATTCCTGCTGAGGAACAGGCACTGGCCCAGCGCCAGGCCATAAACAGGGTTCCCAGACTGGCCACAGAGATGGCCTGAAATGTGAGGTGGGAATCTGTCCCTTGGTCACTTTCACCAGATAGTCCTAGGGCCCTGCGCAAGGCATCAGTGCAGTTCGGCCTTTCCTAACTTGTTTTACACTAGATTTTCTTCCCTCCTGCCCGCCCTCTCTTTCTCTCTCTCTTTCATCTTTTTTTCACCTTGTAGGAAAAGTTGAATCCATTGAACATTGCATTTCAACTCTTTACACTTCTCTGAAGTTCAGGCCTGTATAAGGACATAGGTTTACTTTATTTTTTGAGGCAGGGTCTCACTCTGTTGCCAAGGCTGGCCTTGAACTCCTGATCCTTCTGCCTCCTAAGTAGCTGAGAGAACAGGCTCAAACCTCCACACCAGCTTATGTTCATTCTTTTTGTTTTGTTTTGTTTTTTGAGACAGGGTCTCACTCTAATTCAGGCTGGCCTTGAACTCATGGCGATCCTCCTGCTTCAGTCTCTGGAGTGCTAGAATTATCACTATGCAGTACCACACCCAGCTAATTTTTTTGTTTGTTTGTTTTGTTTTGTTTTGTGCTTTGGTACTGGGGATTGCACTCGGGTCCTTCCGCTTGCAAGGCAGGTGGTGGAACCACTGAGCTAAATCCCCGGCCCTAATTTTTTAAATTAGAAAGTAATATGAACTGCTTTTAAAGATTTAAAAATAAAGTAATATGCAGGACAGATCTCCTCCCTGGCTCCCCCACACATAAATCTTTACATGTGAAGTTGCTCAGAAATAATCACTTTTATAGAATAAATATTAAGTATGTATCTCAGTGGTAGAGTACTTGCCTAGCATGGGCAAGGCCCTGGGTTTTATCCCCAGCACCACATGTATAAATAGATAATAAACTAATAGTCCTGTTTGGAATTCAGAAAACAGTACACGGAGGTGGACCATACTTTTGTCATTGAAACTGCTGTTCTGCCGTACTGTGAGACCGAATGCTCGTTAGGCTGGGAAGGTTTCTGTGAACAACTTTTACATGTTGAATTTTCTTTAGGACTCTGTTTTCCTGAGTGGATTTGCCCAAACAAACTATAGAAACGGTTCCAGGGCTTTAGAACACTGCTTTCTAGGTGTTACAACACCTTCCCCAGGCCAGTGATGCTGGGTGCCTGTTTTTCAGTGTCCTTGCCAACTTTTCCCATCACTCTGTTTTCTAGTTTAGCAGTTGCTTTAAAGAGCTCTTAAAGGAACCCAGTGAGACTGAAGGCTGTCCCCTGAGGGAGCCCAGGTTTTCCCTGAGTACAGGTTTGAAATCACTAAGCTCCTCACTGGTCACTGGTTTGTGATCTTGTAACTCAGCCTCCCCCGCCATTCTGCACACCCTAACTAACCCATGGGATTCTTATTTTTTTTCTTTCTTTCTTTTTTTGGTTCTGGGGGGGTCAAACTCAGGACCTTGGGCTTGCGAGGCAGGCGGCAGCACCACTGAGCTAAATCCCGGGCCCTAAACCGTGGGATTCTTGAATGCTGTCTCTGCATTATCTTGGTAGATAAGTGGTTGTTTCTAAACAGTCTGATCTCTCTAGCAGGCTGACCCACAGGACAGAAAAATCTTCCATTTTTGCTGGCCATGGTGGTGCACACCTGTTATTCCAACACTCAGAAGGCTGAGGCAGGGATCACTGTGAGTTCAAGGCCAGCCTGAGCTACACAGCTACAAGAAAAATAATAAATCTTTCACATTTTATTCATCTAACACACGTTTTTTGAGTGTCTGCTAGTGCCAGGTAGGAACCCCAGGCACAGAACTTGTATCTATGGCCTGTATGTGTCTAGTGGTCAAAATCACCCTCCCTTTAATCTTCATTCGCTGGGCCTAGCTGTGTCCCTCAGACCAAGGCAGACACAGCTCCTTGGCCACACTGCCCTTCCTGTACTCGCACCCTTTCCCATCCCACCACTCACCTGAGTCTTCCCTGTCCCTTCAGCCATTCCTCAGGTGACATGATTCATAAATATTTTCTGTCATTTCTCCAAGAGGGACAGAAAACATGGCAAATTCAGACTTGCACAAAGAGGAAAATAAAACAGATCCATCTTTCCACCGGTCCATTCTGTTTTCTATTCAAATTGATTTATTTGTTTATATATTTATTTTGAGAGAGGGTCTTGCTATGTATTCCAGGCTGGCCTTGAACTCCCTATGTAGCCCAGGATGGCCTGTAACTTGCAGTGATCCTCCTGCCTCAGCCTTCTGAGTGCTGGGATCTTAGGCATGAGCCACAACACTCAGTTTATTTTTCTTTAGGGACTAGGATTTTTCTGTTTTGCAGTACGCTGCCTTTTCCTCACCCTTCATGTCATCAGATATTTCCCTATAGTTTAACTTGAAAGGCTTATGTCATAGCCTACTTGGACTATAATGCAGTCACCGGTAGGCCCTGCTGTCGGATATCAGGTTGGTCTGATGTTTACCAGGAAAAGCGCTGTACACTCAGCTCACTTGCAGCCAGAGCTTTTGTAGCAAGCTGCATTTAAAGTTAAGAACCCAAAAGTAGGGCCAGCCGGTGAGGACAAGGGCTTTTAGAGTCCCCGGTTCTGGGTCAGGTACTCCCAGTGTACCAGGCGGCACTGCAGTACCACAGCCCTGCCTGAAATGGTCCAACTGTCCTTGAAGTGCTCCAGCCTGCCACCAAGTCTGTCCCTCGTTGCAGGGCATCAAAGCTAAGCACAGTCCCACCGCTCTGCTTTCTGGCCTTGCAGAGCTGCTGAAGTCGGAGTCAGATCTGTGGACGCCTCGGTGGCCAGGCTCTCCAACATCCCCAGCTGTGGGTGGGTGACCTGTGCTTTCTCCCTCCCTCTGTTCAGACCAGGGCCCAGGTGCAGTCAGGGTTTCCAGAGAGGCTGAGGAAGGAGGCAGGGCCACCTTGGGCAGCGCGAGGAAAGGGAAGCGGCAGCACAGCTCACCCCAGAGCGCTCTCCTGGACTGCAGCCTGTGCGGGAAGGTGTTCAGCAGCGCCAGCTCGCTCAGCAAGCACTACCTGACGCACAGCCAGGAGAGGAAGCACATCTGCAAGATCTGCAGCAAGGCCTTCAAGCGGCAGGATCACCTGTATGTGGGCGGCTCCGGTCCCTTCCCCTTCCCAGGCTGCCCCACTCTGTCCTCCCGTCCCCCAGATGTGGACCCTGAACCCCGCTCTCCTGACATGGCCGGGCTCCAGGTCCAGTTCGGTTCACACCAGTGAGGAAATAAACCACTGCCTTGGTCTGCAGTTTAGAGACGCATGATGGCTCCCGAGGCAGTTACTGGTGCCCCCAGGAGTTTGGCTGTATGGATAGGGACACGCCCCGAGTCCCTGGTGGGCATCTGAGGACAGGCTGGTGCTGCCATCGGGAGACTCGGGCACCGGTGACGCTGAGGTGCCAGTTTCCAGAACGTGGCAGTGCATCTCTTGTTTTTCTTTTTCTCTTTCTTCTTTTAACTGTTTGTTTTTTTTAAACACTTGATTAAAAAAAGAAACTCCTGTTTAAGAGTCAAGAGCAAAATTCCTTTGTTCTTGGTGTCTTGGAACTGAAGAGTTGTTTGTGCAGGTGAGGGAAGGAAAGGCTGACTGGTTCTAGCCCAGAGGTTTGCAAGTGCTTGCAGTTTGAGGAATCTACCACTTCCCAGTTCTACCCCAGGGAAAGGAAGCCTCCCTCTGCCCCTGTCACAAGCTTGGAGACAAACGGTCAGGGCTAGAACTTAGGTCTTCTGGTTCTTTCTCTGTTGCTTCCCTCCAAGGAGAGCAGAGCCCACCTTTTGGGAAAGGCTTTGGTCATCGGTCTCCCCCTCTCCCCCTCTCCCCCTCCCCGACTCTGCTGGGTGCGGTTTCTGAGTTGAGGTGTGGGTACACTGACAACCCTCACAGCTACTGCAGTAGTAGGAGGCTGGATCCCAGGTGCCCATCCGCCTACGTGCTGTCCCATGTCTGATCCCAGGACCGGGCACATGCTCACCCACCAGAAGACCAAGCCCTTCGTGTGCATCGAGCAAGGCTGCAGCAAGAGCTACTGCGACTACCGCTCTCTGCGCCGGCACTACGAGGTGCAGCACGGCCTGTGCATCCTGAAGGAGGCTCCCCCGGAAGAGGACACCTGCGGGGACTCCCCCCACACCCCCGACACAGCTAGCCAGCCTTTGCCCAGCAGCCTGCGGTCCCTGGGGCCCCCAGAAGCCAGGTCCCCTGGCTCTGTCTTACCCAACCGAGACCTCCTGCGCTGTATCGTGAGCACCCTCGTCCACCAGAAGATCCCTTCTCCAGGCCCTGCCACAGTTGGGGCACCGGATGGAGAAGGGAGGAACACATCTTGTCCCTGCACCACCTCGCCAGGGCCCTCCTCCTGTATCCCAGGAATTCTGGGCACTGAGGTTCCCGAAGAGCCTCATCCCCCACAGAAGGAGCTGGCAGCTGATGTGTCCCCAGCCGAGAATGGCGACCCTGACCCTCCTGAGTCAGAGCCTCTACTTCTCCAGCTCCCGTCCTCCCTGGAGGACTGGCCCAAGGGTGGCACTTTGGCCACCTCCCTGGCTCCCTTCCGGGGTCAGAAGGTCCCTACCAGTTCGCAGCCATCCAGCCACAGTTTGCAGTGGTTCCGGAACCTGCCCAGCTGCCCCAAGAGCAAAGGCAACAATGTGCTCACAGTCCACAAGGCCCCTGGGGAGGGCTCTGAGTCTGGCCCAGGGCCCAGCGGCACCTCGGCTCCAGCAGAGCCCTCGCCCAGCACAGGCGACAGTCAGGATGCACCGCCCCTCCTGCCCACACTCCTGAAGGTGCCCAGTGAGGCCTCAGGCGACCCTGGGCCGGATACTGGGGACAAGGACAGCTGGGCTTCCAAGAAGAGTGAGTCCTTTCCATCAGATGCCATGCCGCTGTTCCGCCAGCTGTTCCTGAAGTCGCAGGAGTCCCTGGTGAGCCGCGAGCAGATGCAGGTGTTCCAGATGGTCACCAAGTCCCAACGGATCTTCTCCCACACCCAGGTCACAGCCCCTGCCTCCCAGCCCTCTGGGCCCGAGGGCAAGCAGACTGTCCTGAAGTCCCTGCAGGGGCCCTGGCCACAGCAGTCCCGGCCCCAGGCCCCCGCTGTGGACTCTCTGCAGGGCCCCAGAAACATGGAGCCAGAGGGGTCCCCAGCCCACAGAAGGAAACCGGCGCCCACGGTACCCAGAGAGGCCTCCCCCAATGGCACACGGCGAGACACGAAGGGAGCACCAAAAGTGGCCTCTGCGCCACCCTCCCTCACCACGCCACCTCTGGACCCCTCCCGGAATCCAGACATCTCTTCTCTGGCCAAGCAGCTCCAATCTTCCAAAGGGACCTTGGACCTCGGGAACATCTTCTCCCCTGAGGACCCAAGGCAGGCCCAGGCAGATGGCGATGAGCTGCCCAGCACCCAGCTCTCCGAGAATGGCCCGGCTTGCACCCGGGGCGGAGGCTGCAGGCTCTTCTCAGGCCACCCCAGAGCCCAGCGGTTCTCGGGCTTCCGGAAGGAGAAAGTGAGGATGGACGTTTGCTGCGCAGCTTCTCCAAGCCAGGTGGCCATGGCCTCCTTCTCGTCGACTGGGCCTCCTGCAGACCCTGCCCGGGACGTGAAGTCCAAGCTGACCATATTCAACAGAATCCAGGTACCTGCACCCCTTTCGAGCGGCCTGACCACAGTACTGAGAAAAGTGCCTTGGGTGATTGTAGAGCGTTTGTTAGCAAAGTGAGGAAATAAGGTTCAGAGAGAGTGTAGCCCCTCCCGCTCCCAAACCAAACAAAACAAAACGAACTAGAATGAGCGCAGAACAGTCTTCCAAAGCACTCTGTGCCATCCTGTTACTTCACTAGGCTTTTTTCGCTGGCTTTCTTTGGCTTCCCATTCGGTCCTGGAGTTGCAGCCTGAATTCTTCAGAGGATAAAGACAGACACTGTCCCTGCTTTTCCTATCTCTACCTGGAATGGCCATGTCTTCCCTAAGCAGTACGAGTGGGCCCGCTGCATGCTGCACACTGACAGGCTTGGCCTTGCTGCTCTGTGCTCATGCTCAGGAGGCCCTGCTCTGGAGCGCTCGGCTGCCTTAGCCACTTCTCTTAGCGACGACAGCACCCTTCCCCATCATGCCTCAGTGGCCCCCGCTACAGCTTTATTATCCAAACGTTATATAATTCACCATTTTTTGTTTTGCTTTGTTTTGAGATGGGGGTGTCACTCTGTAATTCAGACTGGCCTGGAACCCATGGCGATCCGCCTGCCTCAGCCTTCCGAGGGCTGGGATTATGAGTTTGCACCACCACACCTGGCCCCAATTCACCATTTTAAAGAGGGCGACCCCATAGCTTTGCGTGCTTCCGAGGTTGTGCAATCTTTACTAGCATTTACCAGAACAAACTGCACACCCCGAAAGTAGCACTGCACTCTTTGTCACCCCTAATCTTTCCATCCCTGCAGCCCCTGCCAGCTACAGATGTACTTTCAGCCCTCTAGACTGTCTACTCCGGACAGTTGCTGGAAGTAGAACCAAACACTACAGGCCTTCTGTGACTGGCCCTTCCACTCAGAAAGTGTCGGTGCCTCCGTCCTTTCTCGGCTGAGCAAGATTCCCTTAAATGGAGAGACCGTCTTGTGTTTGGCTGTTATTTAGTGGCTTCTCTCCACCTTTCAGCTTTTGTGCCTAGGCTGCTATGGTGCTCGTGCACGTCTCTGTGTGCAGAGACGCATCCTTGTGTCCCTCAGGTAGACACCTCAGAGTGCACGTGCCACAGCTAACATTCGAGGAGGTGCCAGGCCGGGTCCCAAAGCAGCTACACCGCTGTGCACCCTGCCTCCCCACAGCGCGAGGCGTCCAGTTTCCCTACGCTCTCGCCAGCACTTGTTTTTGTCCTTTCTTGTACTTACCGTGATCCCCCAAGTGAGTGTGACGTTGTATCCATTTCCTGGATGGCAAATGGTGTTGAGCGCCCTCGTATGTGCTTCTTTTTGGCCATTTTTTATATCTTCTGAAGAGAAACATCCCTCCAGGGGCTTTGCCCTAAGATTGAGTTAAGATTGTAGCATTACTGAGCAGTAAGAGCTTTTTACATATTCTGGATGCAACTCCTTCGCAGATAAATGACTTACAAATATTCTTTCCTGTTTTGGGCCATCTTCTCATTTTATTTGTGCTATTGTTTGCAGGACAAGAGTTTTCATTTTGAGCAAAGTTCAGTCTGTGTCTTTGATCTTTTTTGTTTTGTTTTGATTTATCCCCAAGAAAGCATTGTCTAACGCTCAGTCACAAACACTGACTTCCACATTGTCTTCTAAGGGTCTTTTGGGGGGGGGTTGTTTTGTTTTGCTTTTTTTTTCTTTTTTTGAGACAGAATCTTGTTATGTAGCCCAGGCCTGTCTCAAACTCACAGCCATCCTCCTGCCTCAGCCTCCCGAGTTCTGGGATTACAGGTGTGCACCACCACACCCAGCTTCTTTTTAAGGGTGTTATAGCTGGGCTCATCCACACCTCCTCATTCCCGGTGTGTTGCTGATACATATTTTCCTCACCAGGGTGGAAACATCTATAGGCTGCCCCACCCCATTAAAGAAGAGAGCATGGCAGGTAGATGGTAAGTTGAGAAGCCTCCTGCCTTGTCCGGCCCTGCCCACAGGTGTCCTGTGTGGCTTCCTGTGCCGTCTGGGGTGAGTGAGCTGGACGTCTTAGGGACAGAGCTTCGGCCCCTGGCGAGTTTGGATATGGCCTCTGTGTTTTCAAGGTTTATCAAAAGTGGTCAGTGGGTTGGAGCTGAAAACGGTGATCAGTGGCCAGAGAGTCCCATTCTGGCGTTCTTCCTTCCTGCCTCGTCTCCCATAGTAACCAGCCAAACGGGAGTCCCACGGACTGCACAGAGCCCAGGAGCACGTTTGTCTGCAAGAACTGCAGCCAGATGTTTTACACGGAAAAAGGACTGAGCAGCCACATGTGTTTCCACAGTGACCAGTGGCCGTCACCTCAGGGGAATCAGGAGCAGCAGGTGAAGGGCACCAGCTGCGGCTTCCGTGGTTACGGGGCTTGGCCGGCTTTGGGAGGAGATGGTGGTGTTGCCTATCTCTGGTTGAAGATGGCATCTCGGAGGAAGCGTGGGCATGGACCAGGGGCAGGGCTGGTCCGGTCTCTGGGCCAGGCCACAGTGATAGGATGGCAGTGGTCCCCACCCCATCCTTGCCCTAGCTTCACTGCCAGGAAGTCTGCCACGGCCTCTCTAGCTCTCCTCAGAGTGGCTCTGTCCCCTGCCTGCTGCCACCCTAAGAGTCACAAAGGGCTCTTGAAGAGCCGCTGTCTCTCTGTGTTCAGGTGTTTGCCACAGAGTCTTGCAAGCCACCAAGACAGGCCCTGAGGCCAGACAGGGACGGGCAGAGCCCCTCAGAAGCCAAGAAGCCCTTGGAGCACACAGCCACAGCCCCTCTGGGGATCCCCGTGCCTGTGGCTCTGGCTCCTTGCCCCCCAGGGAGTGTGGCCAAGGTGGGTGCTCACCTGTCTGCTTCTTCCCACTGCTTTTCCCACCTGTGCAGAGAGCTGTGGGAAAAGCCACAGGCTGCGGAAAAGCCTGACTCTAGAAGCACTTGGGTTGTAACTTTGTTCGGACATTCAGCGTTCACAGATCTTTCTGTGTCAGCCCCTCTGTTGGGTAGTTCAGGGGACACACGATGGCGTGACAGCCCAGGCCCTGAACAGACAGTGAGGACCCAGAGTTTGCAGGGCTGTGGGGGATGCCGAGGGACCAGCCGGCTGAGGTCAGGGCTTCCCTGAGGAGGGGCTGTCGGAGCTGAGACCTGGAGGAGGAGCGGACGCTGGAAGTGAAGGAGAGCACTGAGTGGGAGCAGCTGGTCTTGGGGAGCTCGTCTTCACTCCACCCCAGGGGACCCCACCTGGGAAAGTTTGTGATGGGCTTGGGAATGGGCTGCCTGGGCTCACTGGCCACTGTGGTCAGAGTGGACGCGTTTTCATTGCTCACACCGTCACTGTGCGCCCGGCCCCAGTCCACACAGCGTCCTCTGAGCCGCTGCGACTGTGTCTGCACAGCTCGGGCTCCGGACTGGAGACGGCACCAGGCCAGCGGCACGGCTGTGGCCCGGGCCTGGCTGGACAGTGCCGCCGAGGGCCCGCTCGGCCTCCTGTGCCCAGGGCGTGAGTGCGGTCCCGCAGAGCACCCGTGTGCTACTTCCCTGTCTTCCACGGCCCGTCCTCTTGCCCCCGTTGTGCTAACCTGAAGACGGTACTGTAGCAGGTGACCTCGGTGACCCCTGTGGCTCTGAATACTTTTCTCTCCAGGGACAAGAGAAGGACGGGGAAGAGAGGGACGACGAGGACAGCAGTAAGCACAGGAAGCGGAAGAAGCACCTCCAGCCCCAGGCATTGTTCGTCCCTCCTCCACCCTGTGCGTTTGGGGACCCTGGCCCTGGAGGGGGCCACCAGGGCTGCCTGCGCTCTCCCGTGTTCCTGGTGGACCACCTCCTGAAGGGCTTGTTCCGGTGCTCGCCCTACACGCCGCCTCCCATGCTCAGCCCTATCCGGGAGGGCTCCGGGCTCCACTTCAGCATGCTCTGCTCCAAGTCCCAGGCCGGGCCGCACCAGCTCATCAGCTCGGCGCTGGGTGAGTGAGGCCGAGTGCTCGCTCCTCGCTGCAGACCCATGCCACCCCTGCGGCCCTAGTGCAATGACGCACGGGCCCTGGGGTACCCGGCTGGAGGTCTCAGTGCTGCTGAGAGTGCCCAGGCCTGTGCTGGGACGAGCACCTTCTAGGTACTTTGAGTTTTACAGCCAGAAAGGACACAGAAGCCACTTAGCCTGAGCACCCTTCTCCCTGCCCCTTGGTGTGCGATACAATCCACAAAGCATGCAGATCCCTCATTCAAGCGTGTAGTGCTTCAGAGGACAGTCACAGACCGTGCTCCCACCACACAGCCTAACTAGAGCCCTTCCATCCTCCCCAGGTGAAGCCCATGCCACCCCTGGTCTTATTCTCCTCCTCAACGCCCCTCCCAGCTCTGGCCAAAGCTCACCTGTGTCCTGTCTCTACCAATTTGCCTATTCTGGATATTTCACGTCAGTATACGATCTTTTGTGCCTAGTTTATTTTACTTAGTATGGTGCTTTCAGGGTCGGTCTGTGTCATAGCCTGCATTAGTGCTTCATTCCTTTTTATGGCTCAGTAATATTCCATTGGGTGGGTAGATCACATCTTATTAATTCATCAGTTCACAAATATTTGAGTTTCCACTTTTTAGGCATTGTGAATAACGCGGCTGTGAACGGTTGGATACAACTTTGTGTGTGAATGGATGTTCCCACTTCTCTTGGCAGATACCTACAGTGAAACGCTGGGTCCTAACTCTATCTAGCCATTAAGGAACTGCCAAACTTTTTCAAATTTTTCACATCATTTTAGATCCCCCCTGGCAGTGCATGAGAGTTCTGCTGTCTCCGATCTTTGCAGACACTTCTTATAGTCTGTATTGTTATTGTAACCGTCCCAGTCAGGGAAAGTGGTGTCTGAGTCGGTTTAGGTTTGCGCCTCCCTCCAGACTGATGGTACTGAGCACTGTGGCATGTTCTTCTTGGCTGTATGTGTATCTTTTCATCCTTTTTTTTTTTTTTTGCCCCAGGGATTGAACTCGGGTCCTTGTGCTTGCAAAGAAGGCAGCAGAACCACTGAGCTAAATTACCCAGCCCTGGATGTATCTTTTTACACAAATCCATGAAGCTTAATTTTTTCTTTTGTCATCTGTGCTTTGATGTTAAATGTGAAATGTTGCCTGATTCAAGGTCATTTGAGAAGAGTTATTCCTGTTTTCTTCTAAGAGTTGACTCTTAAATTTAGATCAGTTAACATGGTGTATGAGGTAGGGCTTCAGGTCCATTATTTTTCATGTGGCTATCAAGCTGTTCTGCACCATTTGTTAAAAGACTATTGCCGTTGAACTGTCTTGGCACTTTTATTGAAAATATGTATGCAAAGGGTTTTTTTTGTTTTGCTTTGTTTTTTGTTTCCTGTACCGGGGATTGAACTCAGGACCCTGAGCTTACAAGGTGGCACCAGTGAACTAAATCCCCAACACTGCAAGGGTCTTTTGTTTGTTTGGTTTTTGTCTTTGAACTTTGTCCTTTTCATTTGTAAACTTATCCTTATGCCAGAACCACAATGTTTTGATCATTATCACTTTTTGCTAAGTTTTCAAATGGAAAATGTGAGTTTTCCAACTTTCTACCTTTTTTAAAAAGATTTTTAGATGTTCTGGATCTCTTGTGTTTCCATAGAATTTTAGGATCAACAGTGGTTTTGATAGCTACTGTATTTAATTTGTAAATCAGTCGAGAGTATTGTCACCTAAACAGTTTTAAGCCTTTCTGTCCATGAACATTGGAATATCTTTTCATTTACTTAGATCTTGTTTCATTTTTTTCCATAATGTTGGTAGTTTTTAATGTGTGTCTTAAACTTCCTTTGTTATAGCTATACTTAAATGCTTTATCATTTTTGACTATTGTAAATGGAATTATTCACTTAGCTTCATTTTTAGAATGTTTTTGTTTGTATGTCTGTTTTTTTGCGGGGGGGGGTTCTCCCTTTGGTTTTTTGAGACCAGCTCTTGCTGTGTAGTTCAGAATGGCCTTGAGCTCACTATGTTACCCTTGCTGGCCTTGAAATCACAGTGATCCTCCTGCCTCAGCCTTCCAAATGCTGGGTTACAGACAGGCATGCAGCACCACACCCAGCCTAGAATATTTATTACTGGTGTATAAAACTGTACAATAAGGCTGGGGATTTAGCTCAGCGGTTCGGTGGCCTGCCTTGCAAGCACAAGGACCCGAGTTCGATCCCCGGTACCAAAAAAAAAAAAAAAAAAGCTGTACAATTGATATTTTTATATGGATATGGTATCCTGTGATATTGCTGAACTCATTTAGTAGTTGCAATAATTTTTTAAAACAGATTTCTTAGGATTTTCTTTTTTGTTGTTTGGGGTTTTGTTTGTTTGTTTGTTTTGTTTTTGAGACAGTCTCACTAAGCATCTCCGGCTGGCCTCAGCTGTGCTGCTCCTTCCCAGTGATGTGATTCCCACCACGCCTGTCTGGATTTTCTATGTCTAGATCACATCATCAGCAAATAGAGATAGTAAGTGCATTATCAATTGGAGGAAATTCCCCTCTTCTGCTTTGTTGAGTGTTTTTTTTTTTAATCATGAAAGAGTGTTGAATTCTCTGTCAGTTTTTTTCTGCGTCTATTGAGATGATCACGTGGTTTTCGTCCTTTATTAGATGGACATGCCATGTCATATTAATTTATTTTTATGTTTAATCAGTTAACTTTATGTTGTATCCCTAGGGTGAGTCCACACTTGGTCACGAGGTATTATTCTCTTGCATATTGTTGGAATTGATTTGCTACTATTTTGAGGGTTTTACATCTGTATTCATAAAGGGATTTGGTCTCCAGTTTTGTGGTCTTCTTGGTTTGGCAAAAGGGTGCTACTGGCCTTCCAGAGCAAGTTTGAAGCATTCCCTCTTGTTTGTAGAAGACTGACTTAATTCCTCAGCTGCGGGGTGGAGTTCGTGATGAAGCTATCAGGCCAGGGATTTTTGTGCATTGGGAGGCAAGGGTGTGAGAAGTTAGTATGTTCTCACAGTTCTATTCAGTTTTTCTATTTCTTTTTGAGTCAGTTTAATTGTTTTGTGTCTTTCTAGGAATTTCTCAATTTTATCTAAATTATCTTATTTATTGGCATATAGACAAGGTCTCGTTATGTAGTTCATGCTGGTTTCGAACTCACTGTGTAGCCTAGCCTGGCCTTGAACTCATCGCAATCCTCCTGCCTCAGCCTCCCCTCTCCCATGCTGGGATGACAGATGTCTGCTCCCGTGCCTGGTTTCATTGTATTCGTTATAACCCTATTACTTCTGATAGATGAGTATTGATACCACCTTTCCGTTTCAGCACCTCCCTCTCCCTCCTTCCCTCTCCTCTTTATCCTCTTCTTTTCTTTTTCCTTTTCCTTCTCTTTGTTCTTCTCCTGTCTCCCTCTGCAGAAGTTTTATCAACTTTACTGATCATTTAAATGTTTCTGGTTCCATTGATTTTTCTCTTTTTAGTCTCTATTTAATTAATCCCCCCTCTTTTTTTGTTTTGTTTTGTTTGTTTATCAGGAATTGAACCCAGGACCTTGTACTTACCTGGCAGGCACAGTGCCACTGAGCTAAATCCCAGCCCTTTTCTCTTTTTTATTACATTCTTTCTTGTGCTTGCTTTGAGTTTAGGTTGTTTATATTTCCTAGTTTCTTAAGATGAAAGTTTATGTTATTAATTTAAGAATTTCATTTTTTTTTTCTTTTTGAGACAGAGTCTCAGAAGTTCAGGCTGGCCCTAAACTCTGTGGCACTCCTTCTGCCTCAGCCTCCTGAATGCTAGGAATATAGGCATGCGCCACCATGACCAGCCAAGAATTTCCTTCTTTTTTAAATTTCCCTTTCAGCACTATTTTAACCACATTTATTAATTTTAATATGTTGTATCCTTGTTTTATTCTTTTCAATATTTTCTAATTTCAGTATTTTCTCTTGTGATTTGGCGCATTGATTGCTAAAATATATAGTGTTTAATTTCTACATATTATTTTCTCTATTGATTTCTTGTTTGTTTGTTTTCAAGACAGGATCTTGCTTTGTAGTTCAGGCTGGCCCTAAAAGCACTGTGTAGCCCAGGCTAGCCTCGAACTTGAGGCGATCCTCCTACCTCTGCCTCCAGGGTACTGGGAGGACAGGCGTACTGATTTCTAATTTAAGTCTAACATGGTCAGATAATATACTTTGTTTGACTTCAGTCCTGTGTTTCCTGGTCTAGGATACGTTCTGTCCTGGCGAATGTCCCCTCTGTTCTTGAGAGGCTGTGCACTCTCCTGACATGGATGTGCTCTGGAGATGTCACTTAGGTCTGTTTGGTTATGGTGTTGCTTAAGTCTTGTCTTTCCTGGCTCATCTTCTCCCTAACAGTCCTATCCATTATTGAAAGTATTGTATCTTCAATCTCTATTCTTTTTTTAAAAATTTTTCCCAGTGCTGGGGCTTGAACTCAGAGCCTTGCTCATGCTAAGTAAGATCTTTACCACTGGGCTGAATCTCCAGCCCTTGAATTCTTTATTTGGTCCTGAAATTCTGTGAGATTTTTCTTCATATATTTTTGGGTTCTGTTCATAGGTATATTATTGAAAGTATTGTATCTTCAATCTCTATTCTTTTTTTAAAAATTTTTCCCAGTGCTGGGGCTTGAACTCAGAGCCTTGCTCATGCTAAGTAAGATCTTTACCACTGGGCTGAATCTCCAGCCCTTGAATTCTTTATTTGGTCCTGAAATTCTGTGAGATTTTTCTTCATATATTTTTGGGTTCTGTTCATAGGTATATATATATCTAACTTGGGTCCTTGTGCTTGTGAGGCAGGCAGAAGAACCACTGAGCTAAATCCCCAGCCCTTGACTTTTATTATGTTAAGATGCCCCTCTCTAGTAATTATTTTATTTTAAAATCTAACTTGCCTAATATTAGTATAGCCATTCAATCTCTCTTATGTTTGTTGTTTGTATGGCATATGTTTTTCTATTCTTTAGTTTTTAATATAGATGTCCTTAAGTGTGTCTCCTATATATACAGTGTTACTTGGATTAAATCTGACAAACTGCCTTTTGATTGGGTTAATTCATATTTAATGTAATTATCAATGTGGTTGAATTTACACCTAGTATTTTGCTTTTTATTCTCTATGTGTCTCATATATTTATATCTTTTTTCCTTTCTGCTCTTCCTACCTGTTGCATTAAATATTTTCTTGTGTAACATTTAATTCCACTACTCTTTAAACTTTGTCTTAGTTATTTCTTAGTGGTTGCTCTAAGTCTCACAGCGTATATCTGATCAGGACCTGTTCAGATGTCTACTAACTTAAGTACAGAAGCATTAGTCCTATCTAACTCTGTTCCATCCAACGCATTTTTGGTGCTGTTATTGTTTTATTAGTGGTAGATAGATAGGTTGGTTAGTAGTCAGGCATGCTCTCATTTACATGTTTCATAATTTTTACTTTATATACTTGGTTATAATATAAAAAAGCTGAGAAAATAAAAAGAAAGTAAGTATTATTTATAGAGTTTTTATGTTAACCTTCTATTAAATAACTCTGGATCTCTTTATTCTTGTGGATCTGAGTTACCTTCAAGTGTTATTTCTTGATTTCTGTACAGCTTTACTCCTTTGTATTGTTATTTTATCATGTATTTCTAGATGTTATAAGCTTATAATATGTGTTGTTTTATGCACTTGGGTTTTTGTTGTTGTTTGTTTTTTTGTTTGGTTTGTTTTTTTGTTTTGGTACCAGGGATCAAACTTGAGATCTGTGCTTTTGAGGCAGGTGGTGGAACCACTGAGCTAAACCCCTTGGATGCACTTGGTTTTTAAGAAAATAAATAGGCAGTTATACTGCTTTTTAAAATTATTTACACAGTTATCTTTACCAGCACTCTTTATTTTTTTTTCTATGTGGAGTCACTTGATTTCACCCTGAAGAACTATCTTTAGTACTTTTGTTATTTATTCATTTCAAAAGATACAAAACTTTAAAAAAAATAAAAAACAGCACAAGTCTTATTTAAAATTCCAGCCAGGTGGTCACAACACCCACCTGTCTCTCGTATCTATCATAGTCGCTATGTACAATGTTATAAAAAGTCTCAGCAGTACAAACAAGGGCTGCTGTCCCTGGTCCTCTAGTGTAGACCCATCCCAGGAAATGACACAGAATTATTGCGCCATTGTGAAAACAAAACTTATCAAAAGAGGGTCATGTCTCCTCCTGTGGGCCTCCAGTCACAGATGGAGCTGGCACGGTGCTGGTATCATGGGGCAGAAGATGACTCCTCTGAGAGTATTCTCATTATTAAAGGGTAGCTTTAATGAGTCGTCCATATCATATACGAAAATCCCTTTAAAATATATAATTCAGTTATTCTTAGTATGTATGCAATGAGCTGTACAACATCACCACAGTACATTTTCAGACATTTTTATCAACCCAGGATGAAACTCCATCCTTACCAGTCACTCCTGTCCTGCCCTTCTTGCCCAACCCAAGGCAGTATCCATGTACTTCCTGTCTTTATATATTTGGTTGTTCTGGATATTTCATATATATGCAATCATGGTTCTTTGTATCTGGTTTCTTTCACTCAGTACTTTACCATGGCTTTAGGTTTTACCTCATTGCACTATGTATCTGGTTTCTTTCTTTTGTGGGTGAATAATATTCCACCTGTGTTTCATACATACCTATATATTGTACATATATATACCTATTCCACCAAGTTTGCTAGCAACAAATTTTCTCAATTTTTTTAAAATATGTGAATATTTTCATTTGACCTTCATTTTTAAAAGCTCACTTGCTAGATACAAGACTTGGGCAACATTTTTAGCACATAGAGTATGTTATCCCACTGTCTCTGACTGCCATTGTTTCTGGTGAGAAGTCAGCTGTTAATCTTATCTGGTTCTCTTGTATGTGATGAGATTTTTGGTGTTTTCACCTTTTGCTTTTGACATTTTTAATCTTTGATTTTCAACGTCTTCCCTGAATGTAGATTTCTTTGTATTTATCAGGGTTTTCGTAGAGCTTCTTAGACTTTATATTTTTTTCATCAAATTTGGGAGGTTTTCATCTATTTTTTGTTTAAATATTTTTCTGTCCCTTCATCCTCTCCATCTAGTACTCCAACTGTATATGTTTCCTGTATATAATGGCTTCCCACATTTCTTTTATTCATTCTTTCTTCTCTGTTCTTCAGATTCCATAATCTTCTGATCTGTCTTCAAATGTGCTGATTTTTTTCCTTCTGTTAACTGAAACCTTTTGAGTTCCATTTTGGCTATTGGACTTTTTAACCCCAGAAGAAAACCTGCCAATCTACCTCCCTTGAAATATTTGAAGCATGGGTGCTGGGGGTCAGGGGAGCCCCTGTCTGGGTCACACCTTGCTGTAGAGGACCCCTTGAGGTGACATCTCAGGACAGGGACAGGATAGGACAGGAAGCTAGTCATGGTTCAGATACCACACACTCTTGTTCTTACCAAGACTATCAATTTTTTTCCTTAAATATTTCCCCTAATACTGTATCCCCATAGGACAATTTCCGGAGACCTTATTATTTTATTTATTTTTTTGAGACAGGATCTTGCTATGTAGTCCAGGCTAGCCTCGAAGTTGCAGTGATCCTCCTGCCTCACAGTGCTGGAATTATAGACATGTGCTACCACACCCAACTTATTGTTTTAATACCAATGTATAATTTTCATCTATCAGCTTGTTTGCTAAGTGCCTTTGTCTGCCTCTTCAGAAGTCCTTCCACTTCCCATGGGACCTTAAAGGCCTGTTTTTAGCTGTGTCCACTGTGCTTCTTGAGGCTTTTCACTGTGGTGTTTTTTTTGTTTGTTTGTTTGTTTGTTTTTGGTATCAGGGACCAATCCCTGGCTTCACTGTGTTTTCTAGATCAAGTGGATGGCTCCTTTAGCATCTGTGTGGTGAAGGATGATTCTAAGATCAGCATTGAACCGTGAGTTGGAACACACTTAGAACCCAAAGGTCCTTCTGAGCGAGGTTGCTTTTACCACCTGGGGTTCCAGCGTCACTTTTTCCCCAAGGGCTCCTTCACTGGGAGGGCAGGTGTAGCTGCAGAGGCTCCCTGGGGAGAAGCAGTGGATTCCTCCAGATATATGTAACAAGTCTTGTCAGCATTCCTTCTGCTGAGACAGACTGGTGGGCACATGGGGCAGATGCCCTGTACCTTGGGATTCTAGGCAGAATTGCTGATGGCACAGTGGAGGACCTGAGAGAATCTGTGGGATGTAGCTGGGCGAGTGTGACAAGGTAACCATATGTACCTCCCTGTCCTAGAGAGGCACCCCAGGCAGGAAATCTGGCCATGAAGAAAAGCAGAAGGAGAAGGGAAGAAGGAAGTGTCCCTAGAGAGTTTTCTGAGTTGCCTGGTACTTACCAGATAAGCAGCTGCCATGATGTCTGAGACATGGCAGTGGGTTTCCACAGAGCAGGCTGTGGCTGACAGCAAGCAGGGCACACAGAACATCTCTGCTCTGTTTCCCATCTTAGTTATCTTTGCATCTCATTTCAGACACATCAACATAGGAAGCCGCTTTCAGGCTGAAATCCCAGAGCTGCAGGAAAGGTCGCTGGCCAGGCCTGATGAGCACAGGGCCTCTCTGGTCTGGAAGCCGTGGGGAGATGTGATGACCAACCCGGAGACACAGGACAGAGGTGGCCGTGGCTCTGGGGTCAAGCTCCCAGGGTCCTCCTTCCCCCTGGCTTCCTCCTGTACCTGAGGTTGGGGAGTGGACAGGGCTGGCTCCTCCCGTCCTGCGTCCTCTGCCTACCTCACCCAGGGCAGCTAGCCAGGCCTTCCAGAGTCAGTGCCAGGGCAGGGCCTCCACTTGGCCTCCCATCTCGTCTCTCCTCCTCCGTCTGCACTTGATGGAGATGTGTGGAGAGGGGAGGTGGCAAGGAGCCTCCCTGTGCGGTTGGGGGAGGTTTCCTCCTTGGCACCTGCTGACTCCCTTGTATCTCATCTTCCCCATACTTGGTCCTGCTGTTCTCTCGACGGGAACACAGTGACTGAGCTCTGCAACGTGGCGTGTTCCAGTGTGATGCCAGGAGGGGGCACCAACCTGGAGCTTGCCCTGCACTGCCTGCACGAGGCCCAGGGTAGTATTCAGGTGAGGCGGCAGGTGCTCTCCTGGGGCCAACGTTGCAGGTGCACCCAGCCTGCCACAGGCTTGGAGGAAGGCCGCCCATCCCTCTGCAGTGGTTCTGAGGTGCTGATCACTGATCCCCTGAGAGGGGTCAGGGCTCAGGGAGTAGAGGTCATTAGACCCAGCTCTGGCTCTCCTTGTTTATGGAGCTTCCTCTTCTGATGAAAAGGCCATGTGAAAAACCCTGTTGCAGCCTAAATGCCACTGCCTGCACACGCTCCCCCGGAATTCTGAGTAGCAGCTCTGAGTAGTCGGAGAGGAAGAGGCCCATTGTCCGTGTTGCCTGTGTTAAGTTTGGCCGCTGCTCACTGAGTGAGGCCCCCACCCCTGGTGCCTGGAGCACTGCGGGCAGGGGACTGGGGAAGGCTCGGCGTGTGGCCAGTGCTCTGTTGCTGCTGTCTTAATGGCTTCATACTTTTTAGAGGTCCCTGTTTCTATTTTTCACTCAGTCCCAAAAATTATATGTGTAGTCCTCAGTAGGGTTACATTTGAGTTTGAGACAAAATATCTGCCTGCATGGGGTTTGTATTTTAGGGGAGTAAAAACAGGAAATACATTTTAAAGCTCATTAGCTAACAGTGAGTGCTGTGGAGAAAGTGAAGTGGGGTGCTGAGCTAGAGTCCCCAATGGAACGAGGCACTCGTGCCAGCATAAATCAGTACAGTTTCCTTCATCAAGGACGTCATCTCTGCATGGGAGGGATAACAGCTCCTCAGCAGTGTGCTTATGGCATCGTCACCAGCCCCGGCCTGGCCCCTTGAGAACTGTAGGGCTGGCTGAGTGTTTTTCAGATGAACCATGGATGGAGGTGGCCGCGCGCCTCACTGCCCTGCCCCAGGAATGGCCTCACCTCTTCTCCTTCCAGGTGGCCTTGGAGATGCTCTTACTCCGAGGAGCCCAGAAGCCGAGGACCCACCCGCTGGCCAACTACCGCTACACAGGTGATTGGACAGAGGCTGCTGGCGCGTGTGGGCCTGTCACAGGCCCCTTCGTCAGGGCAGATCTATGGGGCTCTGCCTCTGCCTCTCGGAGTCCTCCTCAGCCCCTCACCTGCCCTTCCGGCAGGGCCTGTCCCTCCGGGGTGACAGAGCAGGCAGTGGTTCCTGCTCATCGGAGTCCACCTTCCCCCTGACCAGCGGCTCCCTTGGGGCACAGGAGAGACGCTGTCAGCTCAGTTTCTGCAGCGAGCTCTCCAGCCCTGGAGTGAGCCATGGGAGCCTCAGCCATCACAGTGGCACAGCGGGGACACTGTGACCCTCAGGGCTTTTGTGAGGACTGTGTGAGGCTGGCTGGCCACTGTTGCTCAGTGACGGCAGCTTTCACAAGGAGGGCGGTCTGCATTCCAGGGGTGCCCATGGCCCCACAGGAGCAGTGTCCTCCTCTTGGCTGTGCCCTCTGACAGGTTCAGACATCTGGACCCCCATGGAGAAGAGGCTCTTTAAGAAGGCGTTCTGTGCCCACAAGAAGGACTTCTACCTGATCCACAAGATGGTAAGGTAGCGAGGGCGGGCAGGCAGGGCGCCGGTCACACATTTACCACGGAGGGGAGGGCCCTCAGTGCCCAGGACCCCGCCTCCTCCCCACCTGCGGCCACACTGCACCGCTATCGGTTATCGGTTATCTTCTCAATCTCGAGGGCCAAACACAGAAGCAAAGTCCTCCTTGCCCCTGCCGCTCCCTACTTCTGACTGAGCAGCTCTGGGAACTCCCTGGCGAGTGCTTCCAGGCATTTCCTGTCTGTCCAGATGTACACACGCGCATGCACGTACTTAAAAAGCATGAGCTCATACTGAGTATAAGATCCTGCCGCTTTTATCTCTGCCTTTAAAACCTGAGCACATGAAACTGCCCATAAACAAGATTTGGTAAGTTGACCTATTCATACCCCTGGGAAACCACCGCCATAACCAAGATAAGGAGCAGATCTACGGCTCCTCAAGCTTCCTTCTGCTCTGGAATCCACCGCCCAGCCACTCCGTCACTGCATCCGGTTGCACTCCCTAGAGCCTTGAACAGTGGGACTGTCCCAGAGCCCGTGCTCCGCTTTGCCCAGCTTCCTAAATCCCGCAGGCTGAGGTTCATCCTTGTTGCGTATGTCAACAGTTCACCAACACCCCTTTCTTTTGGTACCGGGGACCGAACTTGGGACCTTGCAGTTGTGAGGCAGGCAGCGGAATCACTGAGCTAAATCCCCAGCCCAGTTCACTCTTTTTTACTGCTGAACAGGATCCCGTGGCATGGTTATACCAGTTTGTTTAATCCTTCACTCGTGCATGGATATCTGAGTAGTTTCCAATTGGAGGCGATTATAAAGCAGTTGCACGCACTCATGTGTTAGAGTTCACTGTGCTGTGTCAGGCGATAGCCTAGTGTTTTGGCCACCATTTTTTACCCTGTACCAGGGACTGAACCCAGAGCCTTCATCCTGAGCTACATCCCAGCCCTTTTTTTTAAAATACATTTTTAATCTGGAGACAGGGTCTTGCTAAATTGATAGATTGCTGAGGCTGGGCTTGAACTTGCCGTCCTCCTGCTTAAATGTTTCACAGTGTAGGGATTACAGGCTTGCGCTACCATGCCTGGCCCAAGGACATTCAGTTTTGCTTCGTCCCCTCTGGTAAAGGAGCAGCTGTTGGCATGAGGTTGCAGAGAGCATCGTATGCATGTGTCTCTGTGGGGAAGAACTCCTGGGCTGGACTGCTGCTCTCAGTGTGCTAGACCTAGGTTTGGTGGCTACTGTGGCTTCACTTTGAATGCCCTCGTCACCTGGAAGGATGCTGCGGCCCCTGCCTCTGTGGGGAAGGGAGCAGAGCTGTTGTGGAAAGACGTTGAGCAGGTGCTGGCTGGCAGGGTCAGGGTCAGCTTGCGGGGCCTGCAAGGCGCTGCCTATGGTGCACTTCCGTTTTCTTCCACTAGATCCAGACAAAGACAGTGGCACAATGTGTCGAGTATTATTACATCTGGAAAAAAATGATCAAGTTTGACTGTGGCCGAGCCTCAGGGCTAGAAAAGAGGGTCAAGAGAGAGCTAGATGAAGTGGAGAGGACAGAAGAAAAGGTAGAGGCCCCAGAAGGGGAGGTCTAGCGGGCACCTCCCATCCCATGCCCACCGTGGACCCAGCCGGAGGGAGGGAGGAGGTCCTAGGGAGGCTTCCCCTGCTGACCTGCGTCTGTCTCACCGGGCTGCAAGGTCAGCATCTGTGTTTCATTTCCGCTCCCTCTGCAGGTCACCTGCAGCCCTCAGGAGAGGCCCGGCCACAGCCCAACTCCCGAGTTAAAGATAAAGACCAAGAGTTACAGGAGGGAGTCCATCCTCAACGCCAGCCCAAGTGCAGCCCCCAAGCGGACCCCTGAGCCTCCAGGGAGTGTGGAGAGCCAGGGCGTTTTTCCATGCAGAGAGTGTGAGAGGTACCTGGCCTGTCCCTGGGGTGCCTGCACCGCCCTGGCCTCTGCTCCCCACCCTGACCCCATGTCCTCTGGCAACTCCTCAGGGTGTTCGACAAGATCAAGAGCCGGAATGCCCACATGAAGCGACACCGCCTTCAGGAGCATTCGGAGCCTGTCCTCAGGGTGAAGTGGCCAGTGAAGCCCTTCCCACTGAAGGAGGAAGAGGCAGAGGAGGAGGAGGAGCTGGGCACTGACATCAGCCCCCTGCAGTGGTGACTCTGCAGGCGCTGTCTGCTCTGGAAGGGCCCGCAGACTTGCCCTGCCTCCTTCACCACCCCACCCCTCCTGTCGGCGGCCGGCCAGCTTCCCTGGTGAACCTGTGGTCACTTAGCCACAAACAGGCCGAGAAGTCACCCTTGGACAGCTGCTGAGTAGTCCCTGGCCAGTGGGGCCAGTTGTTCCCTTCTGCTGAGGTTAAGAGTCTCTCCCCACTTCCTGTCCCACACTGCCTAGAGCAGGGAGGCCTGGGGAGATGAAAGGCGGGAGCTACGTAGCTCTTAAGTCTGAGCCTCCGGTGGAGTGGGCTCCTTACCTTGGTTAGCGAAGGCCAGGATGCAGAAGATCAGTGGGAAGATGTCCTGAGATCGCCAGCGTGCTGGGGCCCTGGCTCCAGGCAGGGCTCTCTGCTTTCTGGACCCATCCCCAGTCTTTCAAGGACTGTACATTGTTAGGTCTGTTTTTGTACATATCTGTGTGAAAACCTTATTAAATTGGGTTCTTAGGCAGCTTCCTTTTCGCTTCCCAGCCTGTGGATCCCACAGAGGTTCTGCGCTGCAGCCACCTGCCCGGAGGGTGAACCCGTGAATCCACTGGCATTCGTCCTGAACGCCTTTCACTCAGTGCCTGCTGTGTGTGCCAGACGGTTCCCACCACGCAGCAGGGACACGGTGAAGCAAGAGGGGCACAGCCCTTTCCTCACAGAACTCCGTTTGCGGGGGGGGGGTGCCAGGGGATCAAACTCAGGACCTTGCATTTGTAAGGCAGGTGGCAGCATCACTGAGCTAAATCCCTGGCCCTGGAGCTCCATTTTTAGGAGCAGGAAGGCAGTAGTAATAAGCAGACAAAGTGATTTTACATTGTGATAGGGTGAGCTTTTGGCCAGCATGATGGAAGAGTCAGGGTGGGTTTGAGAATCGGGGCTCAGCCCTGAAGTGAAGGACCCCTGTGGCAGGTGACAGGGTACCCAGGCTGCCACAGAGGTAAGAACGGCCACCTCCACATGTCCCAGCCTGCAGAGGGGCAGAAAGAGCATGGCCTCTTCTCCTGTGCCCCTTTTGAAGAGTCAGGGAGACCCGAGCAGCCCCCAGCAGGCTGTCCCTGGGGTCTCACTGGCCAGGATGGCAGCCTGAGCTCAGCTCTACGCTGTCCCAGCAGTGGGAAGATCACTCGTCCTGGTGCCTCACAATCTATTTTCAGGACCAGGGAAAACCACTGTATCCCCTCAAGTTTGTTGCCACCTGAGCAAAGCTGGAATCCCTTTAGCCAGGAAAAGAAAGCAGTGGCCCCTAGGTAGGGCAGAGCAGAGCTCTGTGTTGGCTTCAAGCAAAATGAAGAAAATAGAAAGGGCTGAGTCCTAGAAGTGACCAGGAGGTGACAGAGCTTACGTGGACAGCCAGCGGAGGGTGGGATCTGACCTGGCAAAGCCCAGGCTGCTGTAGGACACCAGCAGGGGTGTTAGGCAGGGCAATGACCTCCAAGGTGCCCGTTCACACAGCTCCCTGGCTGCAGTGCAGAGTCTGCAGGGGATGAAACCGGAAGCACAGAGAGTAGCCAGAAAGCCCCATGGTGGGATGACAGTGGCCGGGGCAGGAGTAGCAGCAGAGGTCTATTAGTTACCTGTCGCTTCCTAACAAATTACTTAGCAGTTCAAAAGAAAGGGAAGCCAACACTGGCTGCTGGCGCCTCTAGCATCAGGCAGCCGAGTAAGGCTGCCCTCCCAGGAATGAACCTAAGTGGCCTGTGGGACAGGAACAAGGCCTCTGCTTCAGGTTATAATCCAGTACGACTTTATGTTGTTGCTAAAATTGTTCCAGCCTTGGCCACTGGAAGCTCTGTTGGCTACACTGTCCCATTAACATGTCCACATCATTTTGTGTGTGTTGTTTGTGAAGCTGCCCCACCCCACTGCAAGATGCTCCAGGCTCTTACATCATTTCCTGCACAGACTTACAACCAGCCACTTCTCCTACCAACCCTGGTTCCTTTTACTGAATAGTGGTATTAAAAACCTATCTGGTCACTAGGTGTGGTGGAAACTGAATTTTTTTTTTTTTTGTACTGGGGATCATACTCGGGTCCTTGTGCTTTTGTGGCAGGCAGTGGAACCACTGAGCTAAATCTCCGGCCCGAAACTGAATTTTTAACACACTGTCTACAGCCGTTTTGTGTGAAACTAGACTTAAGAGAATTCCTGCTCTAAGTTTTTTTCAACTAGCGCTTAGTAGAGTTCTGTTCTAAGTTTTTTCAGACTTAAAAGTTTTCAAGGGCCGGGGATTTAGCTCAGTGGTGCTGTTGCCTGCCTGGCAAGCACAAGGATCTGAGTTCCAACCCCGATGCCAAAAAAAAGAAGTTTTTCAAATCCATCCCAAGACAATTTCAGCAATGGTCGGCAGGGGGCGCAAGAAGTAGACTAGTTTCCTTTTCGTCACACAGGTCTTTGGGAGGGAAGAAAATAAAAATTACCAAACGCGGAGGCGGGACCACACTGCGTAGAACTGTCAAACCCGGGCTTGGGCCAGCAGCTGTCACGTGAGCGTCAGCGGTCAGCTGACCAGTCCCAAATTCCGCGAACAGGGACGGACCAAGCCACTGGCTCCTGTTCATTGGTGGAGGAGGATCACAGGCCGCAGTTTAGGGACAAGTTCCTGGCTATGGGGAGCGGATTGGTTTGTGCAGCGTCACGTGGAGGCTGTCCCGCGAAGCGCTTTGGAAGCTAATGTTGTGCCCTCTGCGGGCGCATGCGCACGGCTCGAGGTCTCGGACGCCGATTGGAGAGCGAGAGTCACAGGACGGCGTACGGCGGCGGGCGGGG